AACCTATAAAAGTTAGGGTTGAAATTGGGTCTTCTCCTCAATGAATGAGGGGTTCTTTGGGTTCAAATGACCAATCCTATAAAAGGTAGTGTCGTTCGAACTTTTCCGATTCTCGGAGTGGAGATCCCACTCTTAGTTTCATCCTGCAGGATTCTGGGGGTGGAGATCCCACCTCGAGTTTCCTTTCCGCCTGAAGATAGAATATAAAATTCTTCCTCTTCGGCAACGGGAGATAGAATATAAAATTCTTCCTCTCTCGTTTCTTTTCCACCGGGAGATAGAATATAAAATTCTTCCTCTCCTCGGACCTTTCCGATGCTCGGAGTGGAGATCCCACTCCCAGTTCATCATTCCAGATACTGGGGGTGGGGAATCCCACCTCGAGTTTCTTTTCCAGCTGAAGATAGAATATAAAATTCTTCCTCTTTAGCACCGGGAGATAGAATATAAAATTCTTCCTCTCCTCGGACCTTTCCGATGCTCGGAGTGGAGATCCCACTCCCAGTTCATCCTTCCAGATACTGGGGGTGGAGAATCCCACCTCGAGTTTCTTTTCCAGCTGAAGATAGAATATAAAATTCTTCCTCTTTAGCACCGGGAGATAGAATATAAAATTCTTCCTCTCCTCGGACCTTTCCGATGCTCGGAGTGGCGACCCCACTCCCAGTTCATCATTCCGGGTGCTCGGAGTGGAGATCCCATTCCCAGTTCATCCTTCCAGATACTGGGGGTGGAGAATCCCACCTCGAGTTTCTTTTCCAGCTGAAGATAGAATATAAAATTCTTCCTCTTTAGCACCGGGAGATAGAATATAAAATTCTTCCTCTCCTATTTTGACACAACTTTCAACTTCCAATCCGCGCACTTGGTGCATGGGGAATTTTATCCCGAATCCTAAGTAGGGATAAGTCAACACCTAACACGTGTTGCCGGGTAGCCTATTCCCGTAACAAGGGCAAAGTCTACGTATTCAAAGTCGTAGCATTAAGTCTAAGGGAGTTCATTCCTTTAGCACAACGTTACATGCGGAACGGATTTCGACAATCCGCATGCTAGCCCGATTCAAACGGTAATCGGTAAAGGCATATCAAACCCGTTGAAGGCTGGGGGTTTGCCAAAAACCCCAAAGTCAACGCCTAACACGCGTTGCCGGGTAGTCTATTCCCGTGAGAAAGACGAAGCCTATGTATTCAAGATCATAGCACAAAGCCTCAGAGAGTTTACTCTCTTAGCACAACGTTACATGTGGAACGGATCTAGACAATCCACATGCTAGCCCGATTCAAACGGTGATCGGTAAAGGCACATCAAACCCGTTGATGGCTGGGGGTTTGCCAAAAATCCCATAAATCTGTCATTCGGAAGAGATACAGAGAAAACACAAAAGAAGCAAATGCGGATTTTCTATTAATAAATCAAGTCAAAAGCATACAACAAAAGCTCGTTAGTCCGAAGGCAACCGACGGCTAAGAATATGAGACTCTAAACCAGAGAGCCTGTCCATATAGTCCTGCTCGAACTCCGCCTGCAGGCTAGCTCGGACAGAATCTTCGGAACTGTTGAGAACCTCTGCGGCTTCGTGTCGTAGCTTCATCAACCCCTCCTGCACTGATCCCAGCCTGTCGAGTGTCCATTCACGAGAACGCTCCAACCCAACCAGTTCCTCAGAAATGGTAGCGGCAGATTCTTCGGCGCGTTCCAAGGCCTCCTTCAGTCTAGCTATCTCTGCACGAGTGGAATCTAAGGAGCTCACTAACTCAGCTCTGCTGGTGTCTTTCCTCGCCAGAGAGGCCATCAGCTGCTCGACAGTGCGCTCACGTGATCGAAGCTCGCTGCCAACGGAAGATCGCAGTTCATGCCACTGCGTCAACCTATCCTCCACCTGAGAAGATGCAAAAGAGGGAGCTCCACCAGCCTTCAACTCCCTCAGCTCTCGAATCTCTGACTCCAGGGCAGCGAAATCAGCTGTAAAGGAATCGGCCAAATCCGGATATCCCTCTTCCCTCATCATCATCATGTGACGGGAGAAGGAACGCCTGAACTGATCAAAAGAAGACCCTCTGTGCAGAAGCTTATCAATCACGCCGTTATAAAAGGCAGTAAAGAAGCCGAGGTCAGTGCGGAAGACATCCCCATCTGGATTGGTATCGGCCAAGAGAGCATGGACCTGCTCATATAGAGACGGTCGAGAACCTGCAAGCAGCAGTATGGGAGGTCAAGAAACTATTAAATACAATCGAAAAGACCCTAAGGGAAATTCGAGGTATACCTATACCGGCGGAAATCCCCTCGGGTTGGGGTTCGACAGGCTCCGAAGTAACGACAGGAATGCTCATGGAAGGTATATCAACCCTCGTGGGCAAGTCAGTCGTATTAGGCGAAGGCGGGAAAACACCCGAAGCTATAGCAGAATCAGGTACAGCGCCTGGTCATATAGTTGCACTTCTTTATTAGTCAAAATGGAGACTGAGACAAGCAAAGAAGAGAGGAAATTGGATATATACCTGTGGATGAATCACTCTCAAAGAGTGGTCTCACAGTCCCGGTGGGAGCTTGTTCAGCTAACATATCGGCTAACAGTCCAGAGTCAGGTCTCGGGAAGACCGGTGCAGGAACATATCCCTGCTCTTCGAAATCTGCAATAGGGGAGGCCCCATCCCCGTCTGGCCCTTCTGTCGCAACACCTGCAGCACCGGATGTAGGTATATCTGAAAATGAACCGGTGGGATCAACACCATCTGCCTGCCCAAGATCGATGTTCAGATCAATGCCCAGGGAGCCATCACGAAGGGCGTCGCACACCTGCTGCATGAAGCAGTCCATGTTGTCAGCCCCAGAGAATACCGGACCTGGTGGAAGCTCGCCCTCCTCGAAGAACCCTGAATTATGAAACAGGATCAGGGATCCCGGAAGGTAAATCATCTTAAAGCAATAAAAGTGGGTACAACAAAATGTTACCTTCCTCCCCGTCGGCAAAGCCTCCTGAATCTACCCCATGGGAGCGCTGATCAACATGAGGTTTATGGGCAATCTTTTTCCTTTTCGAAGGATCACCCCTCATAGAACCAACGGGGCGGTCATGCGAAGTTTGGCCACCAAACTTGGATTTCGCACGACGGGAAGCGAGCGACCCATGGTCGTCGGCTACCCCACCTGAAACAACAAGAATCATCTCATGAACCAGATCTTTCGCCAATACCAATTGAAGTCGAGAAAGAGGATCAAAGAGCATGACAAACCTGTATCAAGTTCTGCTTGGTCGGTATCTATATCTGCATACTCCCCTTCGGGAATTCCGGTGGACTTCTTCCTCTGTCTCTGAGCAGGCTCAGCCCTGCGAGCAGCCATCATAGCAGATTGAACCAAGTGATCGGATTCTAGTTCCGAAAGACTCCTCACACTTATGGATTCATCGGCAGAGAGGAACCATTTACAGCTGAGGAAGGTAATCATCGGCTTGCGTTTATAGGAGGGAAGAGCAAACTGAGCCCCGGTGCAGCCAACCATGGTCCATAACCACGCCCGTACGCCGTCAACGAGTCCTCCCTCAACACGCAAACTACGACTCGGATTCCCAACGTATAGTTGGTCATAGCCAAACTGACGTGCGAAACGGCAGGGAAGGTAAGGCTCTATGTGGCAGCGGTCCTTCACCCGGAGAACAAGATACCCGACTCGGATGTTCACCAACCAGCGGAAACAACCGACGTCGAGAGCAGTCCGGTTAGTTCGGGGTTTCTCCATATCAGTCAACTCCTCGCCATAACGTCCCGAAAAGCGAGGGAAGCATTTGAAGAACTCCCAGTTCCTGCGAACTCGAAGTTCTTTTTGTACATCTTCAAATTTCTTCCCAACCCATCTACTCTCCTCCAACAGCTGTAGGAAAGGAACGGGAACATCAACGGCGCTGGGCGCCGACATCAAGTCCGGACGGTGAAGAACGAACCACGCCATCAAATAAGCGTAGGGCAGCTCAACCTTCGGGCAGGTAAGCTCAGTCGAGGGTTTAGAACCCACTTGGGTAAGAACACGAACTACACCCCTAAGCCCGCAATGGATGCTGGCAACCATCGCTGGAAGCAGAGAAAGCTCCCTCCCATAAGCTAGCTGGACCGCAGGGAAGAGCACCTCGAGGGGTAGAGCGTCTGAAGACTGATATGGAACAACACACTTCTTCAGCCAAAGAGCAAGGTAGCCAGCTAACAGAGACCGAGGATCGATAGACTTCTGGGCATGATAGAGGAACGATCGAAACTTAGTCCCGGCCGGAAAAGCCCCCTCGGCACTAGCAATGGTATAAGAATGAGTTTCATTCTTCTCCATCAGCTCATTAATAGCGGCAGGGGTCAAAACGCCTAACTCATGTATGGACTCCTCGGAATCATCCTCCAAGTTAGGAAACAGGTAAACAGCAAACTGCTTCAAGCTGATCTTCCTCTTCGTCTTCGCTGGAGGAGAACTCTGGAGCAAACAGGTGTGATAATGACAGGTGAGGTCCCAGAGAGTGTCATACACATCGGGAGTATCCTTCTTCAAACACTCCAACTGTTGGTTAGAAGGGAAGTATTCCTGATACGGGCAATCTCCCATCGAAAGCCCGGAAACCTGGTGCATCTCATGAAGAGCCAACCCTAGCTCTCCGCCACTGGTCAAGAAGGTATTACTGAAGAATGGTCTCTCGGTCCCTCTGGAAGTCTGCTCAGCCAGCATGTCAGCTAATAAGCCGGCATCCGGCTTCGAGAAGCTTGGCCCCTCCATCGTAACATCTGCAGGGTAACCTGAATGTTGAAAGATGAGGAAAGCTCGAGAAGATACTTTCAGCAAAAACGGGAAATCTTCCTTCCCCATGCTTAAGGAAAATGACATTGAATGTGGATATACCTGAATAAGGGACTGTGGGCTCGACATTATTCATCTGTTCGAGGTCAATGTTCAGATCGATGCCCAGAGACCCGTCATGAAGGGCGTCGCACATCTGTCGCACAAAGCAATCCATGTTATCAGGTCCAGGAGACACTGGACCCGGTGGGATTTCGCCCTCTTCGAAGAACCCTGAAGCACGAAACATGGTTACAAATCACAAAAGGTAAACAACCTTGGAGCAAGAGCAATTGAATGTTACCTCCCCCGCCATCGGCAGTGCTCCCTAAGTCCACTCCATAGGGACGCTGACCGTCATGGGACTTGTGGGCGGTCTTCTTCCTCTTCAGGGCACCAACCCTTCGAGGGCCAACAGGTCGAACATGCGCAGGCCTATCACACGTTTCAACGTGTGTAGGAGCTGGTGGCTCATGATCATTGGCTGCCCTACCTAAAGTGACAATAGCCATTTCAATAAAAAAGAGCTGTCATTTATGAAAAAGGAAAATTAAAAGAGACAGGACAAACCGGTATCGAGATCCCCTCTGCCGGTATCTGCATCCACATACTCTTCCTCGGAGGTCTCGTCATCGTCACCCGTAGGGAGAAGTTCTTCTTCGTCTGAGACAAGAGATTTGGCATGCCCTTTTCTCCGCTTCTGAGCAAGCTCAGCTCTGCGACCAGCCATCATAGCAGCCCGGACCGCGTACTCAGACTGCAACTCTGAGAGGCTCCTCACGCTGATGGACTCATATGCAGAAAGGAACCACTTGCAGCTGAGGAAAGTGATCAGTGGCTTACGCCGATACGAAGGAAGAGCAAAACGGGCTCCAGTGCAGCCCACCATCGTCCATAGCCACGCTCGTACGCCATCAATCAATCCTCCCTCAACCTGCAGGCTACGGCTCGGATTCCCGACATACAGTTGGTCATAGCCGAATTGGCGAGCAAAGCGGCAAGGGAGATAAGGCTCTATGTGGCACTGATTCTTCACCCGAAGGACGAGATACCCTACGCGGATGTTCACTAACCACCGGAAGCAACCAGCGTCAAGAATGGTCCGGTCACTTCTGGGTTTCTCCTCATCAATCAGTGTGTCACCATAGCGACCCGAAAAGTGGGGAAAGCACTTAAAGAACTCCCAGCTTTTACGGACTCGAAGCTCGCGCTGAACATCACTGAATTTGGGCCCAATCCATTTACATTTCTCCAACAGCTGCATGAAAGGAACAGGGACATCTACCACGCTGGGCGCCGACATCAAGTCGGGGCGGTGAAGAACGAGCCACGCCATCAGATAAGCGTAAGGAAGCTCGACCTTCGGATTAGTAAGCTCAGTCGATGGTTCAGAACCCCTCTGTGTAAAGCCACTAGCCAGACACCTAAGCCCGCAGTGGATGCTGGCAACCATCGCTGGGAGCAGGGAGAGCTCTCTCCCGTAAGCTAGCTGAACTGCAGGGAAGAGCACCTCGATGGGTAGAGCGTCCGAAGACTGGTGCGGGACAACACATTTCTTCAGCCAAAGAGCAAGGTAGCCTGCTAGTAGAGTCCGGGACCCAATGGACTTCTGCGCATGAAAGAGAAAAGAATGAAACTTGGTTCCCGCAGGAAAAGCTCCCTCAGCACGGGCAGTGGTGTAAGACTGAGCCTCGGCCTTCTCCAACAGCTCATTAATGACAGACGGGGGCAAAACGGTAAGATTGAGCCTCGGCCTTCTCCAACAGCTCATTAATGACAGACGGGGTCAAAACATCTAACTCATGAATGGACTCGTCGGAGTTACCCTCCAAGTTCTGGAACAAATAGCAGGCGAACTGCTTCAAGCTGACCTTCCTTTTCGTTTTTGCTGGAGGAGAAGTCAGGACCAAGGAAGTGTGATAATGGCAGGTAAGATCCCAGAGAGTGTCATACATGTCCGGAGTATCTTTCTTCATACACTCCATCTGCTGGTTATTAGGGAAGTACTCCTGATACGGACAGTCCCCCATTGGAAGACCCGAAACATGGTGCATCTCGTGCAAGGCTAACCCTAGCTCACCACCACTAGTCAGAAAGGTGTTGCTATCGGGCATATAAGTCTCCAGCAAAGCCAAGAAATGGCGACAGCTAACTGGGATTCCGTACATAGTAGCTCGTATGGGTGCATATAACCCACTACTCTTCAGATCCCTCTCCCAGCGCGCCAAGACGAAATCAGTCATGCGCGCCCACCACCCTTTGGCTAGTGAGGAAGCCCAACCATAGCATCTGGGCTCTGGTGGAGGTAATCGCCTCCCCAGAAGAGCCAGACGATTACCCACAGTAGAGGCAGCTGCTGACGTCTCACCTGGGGGTGCAGTATCAAGGCCCGTGATCCCTGGGCAAAGACCACGAATATGGTGATACCCGCCAGAACCAGGGGTCTTAGAATGAGAGGTATATCCACACGGGACTCGCTCAGCATCCTTAGTAAGATCCCAGGACATCTGTCGCCTCACGGCCTGTCTCCTCAAATGGGTAAAAGAATATTGGCGGGGAATTGATGGAATGTATAAAAGAGCTCCTCCATCAAGAGTCAGCCAGTGCTCCTCTCCAAGAGTCAGTATAGCGGGGTCCTCGACATGATCCCCGAACAAGAAGCTCGGCTTCTGTAAAGCCTGAGTGGAAGTAGAATCAGCGGTAAAAGTGGCGTCTGTGATAAGCTGGCGCAAGCAATGGCGCCCTCCTTCCCGTACTAAACGGCAGGAATCGTCAGAACGATCCTGGTCAAACTGAGGGAATGGGCTAATGACTTGCCCAATGGAAGTGGAGGAAAAAACCTCCCGGCTACAACCGGCATTGGCATGAGCAGGAAGACTACCCGCGGGGAATTCAACTGCAATAAAATACAAAGATGGAGTCAGAAAATCCGTCTCATAAGTAGAATGATAAGCTCATTCACGGAATAATTGGAGAGACGATTTTGAGTGTCCTACACCGGAAGAACGGTATGCATCATCACGTGAACAACGTGGCAACATATACCGAACTACAAGGTGTAAGACAACACAAGAATCGCCCCAATATATCCGAAGACTTGAATTGGCTAAGCAAAACAAGTCCGAAACCTTAACCTCCGCGAAAGAGGTATCGGTTCTTCCTTAATGACCCGCTAAGGGATCAGTCAGGGATACAGAAGTAGAGAATTCTCACCCCTGAAGGAAAAGTCTGCCGGGAAAGACGTCGTGGGAACCTCCTCCTCACTGTTCTGCGAATGGGGATAACTCCCGGAAGATCGATGGTGACGAGGAGACATCGGAAGTCTGCAGTGAAAAGCAATCCGTCAGGTACAATATGAATACACGAAATTTAAGAAAGGGAAATTAAGCACTTGGACTTAAAATCCTATAAATAAATAGGATTTTACAGTTAAAGTCTAATTAAACCTACCAATTTTGTGCCCGCAAAACAATGATCGTTTTCGCGGTGAATTTTGGTGAAATACCCAAAATACCCTTCGTGTTCAAGGCCAAAATTCAGGTCAAGGACACGCGTAACACGGGTCATGATCATCACATTCGATCATATAACACTCCGGTACCCCACAATTTTTGTTAAATTTTGCAAATAAACCCTTTTTGCAGAATTTAGCCAATCTTGCATAAAAACCCCTCTACAAATTTCGCACTTGGTCTCCACATGCATTTATCAAAATTTGATCAGGGGCTTGGGGTTTAGACCCCTCGTATGTCAGCCCCAAATTCGTAGCCCTTTTACAGATAAACCCCTCTAAAAACATTTAGGGGCTGTTTTGCAAATAAACACCTCAAGTAACTCCTTGATCCTATTGCATAAAGCACCCCCACATCCCTTCATCAAGTGGGCATAAACCCAATACCCGAAATTTCAGTTCCACTTTTGCAAATAAACCCCCACGAAATTTCAGTCCCCTTTTGCAAATAAGCCCCCCAAAATTCGGCCATTTCACCTCTCTTGCACAAAACCCCCAAGAGCATATTTTCATACATAAACTCCTATCTACCAAGCATAAAGATGCAATCTTTAAAGCAAAATAAGAGGATTGAGGGGAGGATTTTACCCAAATCAAAGAAGCTTCTTCGGGCTTGGAAATGGAATTTGAAACCTAAGTTTAAGAGAGGAGGAGATTTCGGCAAATGGGTACCCGCCAAAATCCAACCTTGCCTTGAGGAATGATGTTCTTCAAATGGAGGGAGCTTGGGGAAGAAGGAGAACTTTCAAAACCGAATAAAAGGGGGGGAGTTCGGTTTTTGGGGAGCTAAGTAGGAGGAGAAACTCTCTTTTGAATTTTGAAAAGAGGGGGAAAACAAAAGAAGTAATGGACCAAAACAAGGGAAAAAGAAACAAACCAAAAGGGGGAAAAAGACAAAAGAAAAAGATGAAGGGGAGAAGGGGTGTCTCGGCCCCAAAACCGAGACACCCTAGGGTGTCTCGGCCTTGGCCGAGACACCCCAAGGTGTCTCGGCCAAGGGCGAGACACCCCCGGGTGTTTTAGGTCCTGTTTTGTCCCTATACGCCTGTTTTAGACCCGAATTCGCCCGTTTTCGTCGATTATTGGATGTTCTGATGAAAATCAACACCAATCAACATTCGATACACGAAACCCTAAGGGTCAACGCCGGTCAACGCGTAACCCTAGGTCAACGCCAGTCAACGCGTTGCGACAAGAGTCAACGTTCGAGGATGAAAATCCACACCAATCAACGTTCGACGATTCAAAACCCTAAGGGTCAACGCCGGTCAACGCGTAACCCTAGGTCAACGCCAGTCAATGCGTTCCGACAAAAGTCAACGTTCGAGGATGAGAATCCGCACCAATCAACGTTTGACGATTCGAAACCCTAGGGTCCACGCCGGTCAACGCGTAACCCTAGGTCAACGCCAGTCAACGCGTTGCGACAAGAGTCAACGTTCGAGGATGAAAATCCACACCAATCAACGTTCGACGATTCAAAACCCTAAGGGTCAACGCCGGTCAACGCGTAACCCTAGGTCAACGCCAGTCAACGCGTTGCAACAAAAGTCAACGTTTGACGATACAAAACCCTAAGGGTAGACGTCGGTCAACGCGTAACCCTAGGTCAACGCCAGTCAACGCGTTGCAACAAAAGACAACGTTTTACGATTCAAAACCCTAAGGGTAGACGTCGGTCAACGCGTAACCCTAGGTCAATGCCAGTCAACGCGTTGCAACAAAAGTCAACGTATGACGATTCAAAACCCTAGGGTCAACGCCGGTCAACGCGTAACCCTAGGTCAACGCCAGTCAACGCGTTGCGTCAAAAAGTCAACGTTCGACGATTCAAAACCCTAGGGTCACACGATGTGACAGGGATAGTAAGTTCAAAAGTCAACTCAATGACACGAGCCAAACTCAATTCACCAGCTGCAGACTCGAGACTCCGACGACGGCCAGACGATAAACGCAGCGCCGGAAGAACCTCGGCTATTCGTCAAAGCATCGAATAGACCGAAAATCGAAGGAGCCAAGAGTTGAAGCTAACCACAGGTCCTTATGCCGACTGAAGGCTAGACCAATCACATCCAAAGTATTCCAGCCTCTTCTACAAAAGAAACGAGTCAGGAACACTTTGGAGGGGGTATCTGTAGGCATCGAAAATTGCCTATAGGTCTCCACAAACGGTTCAGTATTAAAGAACGACGATGAACGTCACTATCCAATCCACATGAGCCTAATCGACGTCGACGAACGACTGAAGTGAATCGACGAGTTACATGAGCGGATAGGACTTCGGAATCACGAAGACCCGAAGAGCATCGAAAATCGTTTGCATTTGAAGAGGAGGCTTTATCGCTTCCAATTGAAGAAGGGGACATCCATTAGTGATCACATGAACCACTACACGAAGCTACTTGCAGATTTGGCGAATGTAGATGTCAAGGTTGAAGACGAGGACAAGGCATTGTTGTTATTGAGTTCCTTGCCCGACGAGGAATATGAGACCTTCGTCCTCACTCTTATTAATGGGAAGGCATCTCTTTCGTATAGTGAGGTCACTGCAGCCCTTGTGAATTATCAACTTCGAAAGAAGGACAAGGAGACTTCCATCGAGCCGGTTGCTGGTGCATTGGTTGCAAGAGCTAGAAGTCCAAACCGTGGAAGAAGATCGCAGTCTAGAGGGGGGCATCCTGCAGTTGGTAGGAATCAGTGTGCCTTTTGTAGAGAGGATGGACATTGGAAAGCCGAATGCCCAAAATTGCAAGCTGTGAAGAATAAAGGGAAAGCTATTCAAGCTTCAGAGGTGAATATTGCCAAGGCTAGTGGCGATGTTTCAGATTCAGATTCAGATTCTTCGGGCTATTCGTGCCCAGCTCTTCCGTCAGTTGATGTTGCCGACAAAAAGGGTCTTCTTCCTTCCCCCTTTTCTTTTCCTTAGTATTGCCCTTTAGCGGTGATACTAAGTAGAGCTGGTGTCTCGCTTTAGCCGAGATATAAGCTTCATAACTTCTAGATCCCACGCGGGTCGACGAAGTTCAGAGTTTCTAAATCCCCTCGCGGATAGACGAAACTCTGTCCGATTTTCTCGGAACGGATCTGACCTACCGGTGGTCCACGGATATTGACGTCCCCGTCACAGGCTAAAGACCCACGCAAGCGAGACCGCACCAAAACGGGATCTCGTGTTTATTTTCGAAAAGTTGTAATTTTTGTTTTATTGCACGAGGAGGTCTTATAAAAAGACCGACTTTTTTAATCGATTCTTGTTGTAACGATTGAAGTTGTAACAGATCCAAAAGCAATGAAAACAGCAACTTTCACCGAAAACACTATGACCTGCAAATTGAAGTCCTGTGAGCACATTGGTATGAGCGAGAAGACCGAGGTGGAGTTCAACACTTCTATCCATCGATCGAGGGGTCTTATTGGAGGTGTTCAGTCAGGCATTAGGGGGCTTTCCGAGGAGGCATCATCGGGAGGTAATCGTTATTTTGTTTCCTATGTTGGGGATTGTACTAGGCATATTTGGATTGCAACCAAGTCCCGTTGGTATAAAGCCCTAGTAGTCCGTAACAGTTGGAGGAGGTGTATGGGCAGAAAGGTTACCAGTAGTACTTATTCTAGTAGGAGTCCTTTCTTACATTGGTACTGAGCTCATGGCAGTTGGAGACACTTTAGAGTAGAGGAGACAGTGGGGCGACGTGATGAGATGGCAGATTTAGTGGGCCGTTCTTTTCTGGAGGAAGATCGGCGTTGGTTGTCGAGCAGTGGATCTGGTATTCAGGCTTCGATAGGTTTGGGTCATCTTATGAGGTTGCCGACTGCTGCGTATAGAGTTGTTAGATCTGGTGGAGCTGCTTCAGATTTTGGTTGGTGTCGGATATTAGGCTACCCAGCACTTGGTCACATCGCTGATGTGAGATTGGATCTGATTGCGTAGTTGGGATTCGGGAGTTCATTCGGCTATCAGTTGGGAGCTTCTGAGTTTGGTCTGGGCAGGTTTGTCACTTTGGACTCTCGGCAGGTGGAGAGTATTGATCAGGTCAGAGGGATATCGCAGCGGGTGGAGGTTGATGCTACTCCATATTGGGTGGGGATTTCCACACATACTCCAGGTCATTCTGCATTGGTTGGGATTCCAGCTGAGGTGGCACAGCGTGGGAGTCATTTATTTATGGGTGCAGATGATGAGGTAGTTGATTTGGATGCAGCTGGTGGATATGTTTTGGATACGGCCATTGTTACATCTCAGGTGGAGGTGTTTGGATCGCTTCAGTTTGGGGTCGTTGATGATGCTATCAGCCGCAGGTTGGATTGAGGGCCTTTGGAGGCCATTGGTGAACTACGTGAAGGCTTGATTCCTTGGAGAGGATACGTAGGCAGCCAGTTTTCTGATGCAGCCGATTTGGTGAGCGACATCGACATTTGGGGTGAGTATTCGCACTCCCATTTGGGTCTCAGCAAGTGAGACATTTGGTGTAGTCGGTGTAGGCTCAGTTCGATTTGGTGAGTAGACACAGTTGCTTCGAGGTTGAGTGTTCGCACTCCCGTTTGGGTCTCGACGTGTTGTGGATGGGGTCCGTTGTCATGAGTCCGTTGCCATGACGTATTGGATGCAGCAATTAAGGCATTTGGTTTGATCGGTGTCGGCTCAGTTTGGTAGAATCTTCGCCGAGGTGAAGATTTGTAGAGATGGAGCTCAGAAGCAGTTATGGAAGCAGACAGATTGGCGGTCGACCGCGTTCGTGCACAGGAGGCTGCGGTCGACCGCCGTAGCGGTTTTGGGTTGGGTATGTTTTCCAGACCCGTTTCGTTTG